GGATAAGGATCCAGTGAAAGAGACTGAGAAGTCAGATAAGTAGGAGAACCAGGAAGGAGTGGTGTTCCAAAAACCTAGAGTATCAAGGACCAGAGGGTGATCAACAGGGTCAAAGTGATGAGGATGGGAGCTAAATCCCAAAAAGGAAAAACCCTGGACTTTCCCACAGGGCCAAATCTCTAAGTGTTTGCCTGAGGTTATAATCCCATTAACTGGCCTCCATTGTTTTACCCTCCTATGTTCCCCCAGGCTCCATTGTCCAGGTCCCAGGAGTTCTGTTCACCCTAGCTTACTGGCCACTCCCATTCAGATCTTCCTTAGACCCCTCCTCCAGTCACCCCAAAACTACTTGGCTACTCCTAAATCCCTTCCACAGTCTTTTTGTTTATAGGGTCCATCTTGTCTCCATGAAGGTGCTCAGATTCCTAAAATCTAGCCACTGCTCTTATTCTTAGAATCTAGCCAATACCTCACAGACTCTCAGATTCCTCAAGAGCCTGGCTAATATGACGGATCTTTAATAAACCTTGTCTTTGGCTAAAAGAAGGCTTGGGTTGAATTCTTTCAGACAGGACCCGCCTGTTATGATCTTGGGTTCCCAGCACCTCTCACCTCTAGACCTCATTACAAGACTGCAGAGAGCTTGTGGAGAATGAAGATTGAGAAAGGGCCATTGGATTTGGCAATTAAGCAATCATTACACTGCAGTTTCAGTGGAATGATGAGGTCAGAAGCAGGATTGTAAAGGGTTGAGAAGACAGTGAGAAGAGAGACTACGGAGGCATCTTTCAAAGATTGCCTTTTAAAGGAGTTGAGCCACAAAGGGTAGAAGAGATATTGAAGGATAGTTAATAGGGATGGAATGATCAAGTGAAGGTTTTTTGAGGATGGAGGAGAGGTGGGCATGTTTAGAGACAGTAGGGAAGGATAGGGAGACACAGAAAATAAGTGATAAAGTGTGGATTATAGGGAGAACAATCTGCTGGAGACAATGCTGGAATAGGTGGAGGGGTTGGTCTTGGTTAAGGATTAAAGCCAACCTGTCATGTGAGACCTGAGTGAAGAGATTGCGGTAGAATGTGAGTGATATGAGATGAAGAGGAAAGAAGAGGAGCTCAAGGTGATTGGTCTTAATCTTTTCTGTAAAATATGAGCCAAGTTCTCAGCTTAGAGCATGGGGAGAGAGGGAAGCATGGGAAGTTTGAAGAAGAATGTGAGAAAGGATTAGAAGTTAGGCTTCCACAACAGAACAAAGGAATTCTGAGAACTTCTAAGATCTGGTGGATTGTCCCTCAACCAATCAGAAAATGCCCCAAATATTCCATAAACAACTAATTCCTTAAGAGGGAGCCCTGGAGGCTAAACCTGGTTTGGGCAAAGGCTTTTCTCCAAGCTTGCTGAATAAACCTATTGAATATTGACACATCCCGAGGGTGGAGATAGCCGCCATTTTTGAACATGGGATGCATGGAAGTGGGAGGAGTTAACAGAACCTGGAGGAACATGGGATAGGCAGTTCAGGAAGAGTGAAACTCAGACGAACTAGACCAATTCTAGCCCTGGTGGGTGGAGCACGGATCTTACTATTTAAAAGTTGATTCTACCACTGAACCAGCACATGTGCCATATAAGAGTTCATTGTACCTTCTTCTCTCTCTAGAAGTGTAATAAAGGCTTTCATTTACTCACTCCTTCAGTAGATTTTTGTTTGAGATTTTTCTAAGAAGAAGAAAAAGATTCAGAAGAGTCACTATGCTGTAACTAGACACTAATTAAAAGCATTTGCAATGCATGTTTAAGAATGTCTCTAAAGAAGGTGGTCCTGGATTCTGGAAGGAAGTCAGTGCAGGAAGAGTGCAAACTCTGGCAAGTCCCAACTAATAGTTATATAATTTAGTGGTTATTATGTGCCCACTAAGCACTGTATTAGGTTCTGGAGACAAATAAAAATCAAGAGTGAAATTATTCCTGCCCTCAAGGAGCTTACATTCTATAAGGGGTCACATAAAAACATATAGAGTTAAATGATTATTAATACTGAGGAGATACAAGGTTTTTTCCATTTCCTCATTCAAAGTTCAGTCCTAAAGAAGACCAATGCTGATAGGAGAGACTGCCCAAACCTTCTCGGTAATGTGCTTCTCACCTCACCCAACTAGAAGACCTTACAAAGAGAATCTTGAGGCCTGAGGCCGACTGTGTGTATCCCTTTTGTACAGATTGCCCCAGGCAGGGTGGTCAGGGTATAGAGATAGTCCCTGTTGATTTCCGCCTTAGGAACACTCACCCCCAAGTGGATTTTTTTTTAGGCAATTGGGGTTAAGTGACTTGCCCAGGGTCACACAGCTAGTAAGTATCAAGTGTTTGGTCTGAGGCCCAATTTGGACTCAAGTCCTCCTGACCAGCGCTAGTGCCTTATCCACTTCAGCACCTAGCTGTTCGCCCTGACCCCCCCCCCCCCCCCCCCCGAGGATTTGAAGGTTGAGCTTTCTCCAAGATTCTTCTTTGGTTCCTGAGAGTGCCAGTGACAACACTTTATTATTTGCTAGCCATAACTAATAAAATTATTACCCAGAAATTATGTCTCTGGGACTTTTTTCATTTGTCACAGAACAAATTCAAGTTAATAGTAAACATACAACAGTATTGACAGCATTAAAGTATATAATACGTATTAAAGTCAGTATATAAGGATAACTCAAAGTAACTAATAAGCATACAATATGAAGCATGCAATATTATTAAAATATGCAATAATATTAAGAGTTGACATATAAACAAATACTAACAAACTCAAAGTTAATTAATAGTAAAGTATACAAAGTAATTAACATGGGGGAAGGGTTAGAGGATAAGCTCCAGGCACATCTGGCTAAGACAGCTTCAGGGTTGGCCCAGGGCTAATGAATTTTTTGGCCACAGCAGCTCCGAGATCTTCAGGGGCAGCAGCAAAATCTGAGAAGCCAACTATGGGCTGAAATAAAAGAATAGAAAAGACAGCTTCATGTAGTCAGGCTTCATACCCATTAAGAGCTGGGTTCGAATTTGGCCTCGGATACATGCTGCTGTGAGACCGTGGGCAGGTACCTCAGCCTGTCGGTGCTCTAGGCACCTTTTTAAGACTAGATAGATTGCTGATGGGACGTCGCAGAAGAGAAGCCGATCTGCACTGGCAGAGGGAGTTTCTTCACCCGGGAGTTCTCTATCTCCACAATGCAAAACAACAAAAAAAAAGCAAAGCTTCCAACGAGACAATGAGGGCGGTTCCAAAACGGAACGGGCCGCTTCGGAGGGTCGTGGGCTCCCCAGCACAGGAACACTACAGAGAAAGGCTGGACGAGCACTCGCGGAGTTCGGGGTCAGGAGACCCCATGGCCCCTGAAGCGCCGGTTCTACGCTCCGGGAGAGGTGGAGGCTGGAAGGAGGCGCTGGGCGCATGCGCTCCTCTGTCTCCTCCCCGCCGAGCACCCGGCACCGAAGCAGGGCGGATCTGGGTCACCGGGAGAAGCAGGGAAGGCCGTGAGCCCCTCCCACTCCCGGGAAAAGAGCCGCCGGCGGGCGGTAGTTTGCGTTATTCCATGGCCCGCAGGGCGTCCGGGTCTAACCCCTCGTAGGGGATTGGTGGAGGCGCAGGCCACGTGATTGAGGCCGGAAACTGAAAAGGACAGTGCTTGGGGAAGCATTTTGACAATAACAAACCCGGGTCAGAGCAGGAGGCGGAAACATGGCCGAGGCGGTGAGGCCCCCGCGTCGGACCAAGGCCAAGGCCAGCCGGTCTAAAACCAAGGTAGGTCTCCGCGGGCTTACGTCTTCTCCATTATGCGTTTCCCTCCTCTTCCGGGTGGCTCCCGCCTACCTACCCCCAATACCCCGGCGCGTCACAGACGCTCCCCCTCTCCCCAGTGTCGGAGCCCTGACCCTCACCTGGCCCAGCATCGAGCCCTCGGGGGCCGCCCCCCAATCACAGACCCCGACCCTTCCTCACCCCCCAATCACAGACCCTGGCCCTTCCTCTTCCCCCAATCACAGACCCCGGTCCTCTCTCACCCTCCAATCATAGACCCCGGCCCTCCTTCACCCGCCCAATCACAGACCCTGGCATTTCCTCGCTCCCCATCACAGACCCCGACTCTTTCTCAGCTTCTCCCCCCCCTTACCCCTATCACGGACACCTGTCGTCCCCTCCCCCAGGCCCGCACCAGGACTCTCCCTGCCCTTCAGTGTCGGACTCGGGCTCTCCACCCCCCAATCAGAGACCCCGGTCTTCCGAATCTTTCCCTCCGTCACTGACGCTGATTGTCCTCCCTAGTCACAGACCTCGGTCCTCCGGAGTCCTCAGTCATAGATTCCCATCCTCCCCATCCTCCCATCCCAGACCCTGGCCCTTCCTCCTTTTCCCTCCCCGTTCCCCCAACCCTCCAACCCAATTTAGGCCATAGACATTTCCTTCCCCCCCCAACCCCCCGCAATCGCAGAATCGTTCCTGGCCCTTCCCCCCAAATTAAGGACCGAATTTAACCTGCTCCCACTGTCTCTGCCCCGCCCCCCTCCCCTTTCCTCATCTTCTCTCTCCATACCCTAGGGGCTGCCCTCAGTTTCCAGTCACGGGGCAGCACCGACACTAAGCCTGCCTAGCCACCGAGGGCCTCTTGTTGTCTTGCCTCAGTCTGTAGGCCGAAGAATTCTTTTAATGAACCCACTCCCCATTGTTACAGACCATATTCTCTATCTTGAGTGCCCCCCTCCCATCTCCTGCCCCTGCTTCCTTTCTTTATCAAACTTTGTCAGGGGCTCAGACTTATGAACTTACTGGGGGCACTCCTTTCCTGGGGTTTCTGGATTTCATTAATCTGCTAGTTCTCTTTTCCAAGATTTCATCATTCCCACTGTCTTTCTGGGGACCAGAGTCTCTGATCTGGAACTAAATCTTGACTGGGGTGAGGCTGCTGAAGGTTTGTCATCTGGGCCCAGAAGTTTATCTCCTTTCCCTCTCCAGCTAGTGGATCCATTCCAGGCCCCTGGTTGATTTCTCTCCCTCTCTTCCTAAAAAGAGTAAAATTCATTCTGCCCCAAGGTATGTTTCTCCTGCTCCTTCAATTCCACCCTTCTTTGCCCAAGTTTAAACATTTCTTAGTGTATTCTCTGCCTGCAACCTGTTTGACTTTCTTGGGTGCCATCTACCTTCATCTTTATCTGAAGCCCCTTGAAGTGAAAGTACCACTCATGGAGACAGAGAAATGGAAGTTAGACTGTGTAGCATGGTTTGTGTGGGATGCATCCAAGAATGTTTTCCAGACCTCAGTCACACAAAAAAATTCAGAGGTAAAAAGAAGTCTCCTTATTTTTCTCTTGATTTTGTGTTATTGGGTTGGTGTGAATGAATGTTCAGCAGCCTGAGCTACATACTAGGCCCACACATTTGAGACATCTGCTTATCTGTTTAAGATGATCGTATCTGGATTCTCTTGGTTAGACTGACATGACATTTGTGGTAAGCTGGGTTAGGATTTTGAATTTTTTTTGTATATCAGACTCAGTATACTTTAATGGATCTGTGATCTCTCTCTAGTGATGTAGGTTAATGGCACTCCCTTCAGTGGTATAGATTGTACCTTCATATTCTGTGTTCTTTTCATTGGCTTCCCCAAATCTTCCAGATACAGAGTATGCATCCAGTATACTTATTCTATTCCCATGTCCTGAAAGAATTTTAATAGATATAGAAGAGAATAAAAGTGTTCATGATATAAGTCTGGAGTCAGATAATTTTAACTTTCGGACAGCCTGGTTTACATGGAAAGCAATAATGGTAGTCAGATGCCAAGTAGTCCCTAGCAAGTCCTCATACTTTCATTCAATTCCACTGTTAGGTATACATTCAATTCAACTCTACATTTATTAAGCCTTTTTATGTACTTAGTGTTCCAGAGAATAGGTGTTGGAGGCACTTGGACTCTGATTACCTATATAAGGAAATACAAGGTATTTGAGAGAGTATTAACAACTGTGGCGAATTAGGTTAAAAAAAAAGTATTTGAGCTGAGGTTTTTTTTTTCTTTTCTTGGCTAGGCAGTGTGGTTAAATGACTTGCCCAGGGTCACACAGCTGGTAAGTGTCAAGTGTCTGAGGCCTGATTTGAACTCAGGTTCTCCTGACTCCAGGGCCGATGCTCTATCGAATGTGCCACCTAGCTGCTCCTTGAGCTGAGTTTTGAAGAAAGTAAGGATTTATTTTAACAGTTGAAGGTGAGAATGGGGGTAGACTTCTTATGTGAAGGAATAGAGATAGGAAATGAAATCTTGAGTTCACAGAATAGCTAATAGGTCAGTTGTCTAGAACACAAAGTTGTATGAAGGGGAGTAATATAAAATAAAGCTATAAAGGGAGGAATGAGCCAGTTTGTGGAAGGCTTTAAATGCAAGAGTGAAAAATTTGTATTTTATTCTACAGGAAATAAGGTGCCATTGAAAAATTTTGAGTAAGTGATATGGTCAGGTCTGTGGCTCTGAAAGATTATTTTGTCAGCTTGTGTAGCATGTATTGGAGAGAGATGAAACCACTTAGGAGGCTATTGCCTTCTAAGGTAGTGATGAGAGCTTACAGTTGTGCCCATATAAATGGAGAGAAGGTGATAGATATGAGAGAGAAGAGAGAATCAGTAAGACTTAACAACTCTTTGGATGTGAGGGGCTTGGGAGAGGGGAGTCAAAGCTGAGTCCAAGGTTGTGAGCTCCACAAGATTAGAAGGGATGGATATTTGTGGCCTTAACAGAAATGAGATATTTTGGAGGTGGAATATGTTTTTGGAGGTTTGTCATGATTTCTGGCTTTAATGTACAGAATTTTATATCCTTGAGGAATATCCACATATAGTTGCTTAATAGGCAGTTAGTGATGTAGGATTGGAGTTCAGGAGAGGAGCTAGGGAGTCACCTGGGTAGAGAGAAAATAATTGAACTTATTAGAATTGATGAGATCACCAAGGGAGAAGGCCCAGATAGAGCCTTGGGTGATACCTACAGCTTAGTGGGTAGAATATTCAAAGGAGACAGAAGTAATAGTTAAACAGGCAGGAGGAAAACCAGGAGAAGGCAGTATGGCAAAGGCTGAGGTATGAGAAAGTATCCAGAAGAGGAAGGGGGTGAAGGATGATTGACAGGGTCGAAAGTTGCTGCAGAAGGATCAAGTAGGTTGAGAATTATAGTTAGTCAGCTAACATTTTTTAAGCCCTTACTTTGTTCTAGGCACTATGCTATATGCTAGGGATGCATAGAAAGGCAAACAAGAGCAAAAACAAATTTAGTCACTGCCCTCAGGGAGCATACATTCTATTTAAAAAAAAATTTTTTTTTCCATATGCTTTTGAGTTGAAAATTTTTTCTCCCTTTTTCTCCCCCCACCCTCCCCAAGACGGCGCACAATCTGACATAGGCTTTACATTTACATACCCATTAAACATATTTTCACATTAGTGAAGTTGTAAGTAAAAATTAAAACCAATAGGAGGAACCATCAGAAAGATGAAACAAAATTCAACTTAAGGTAAAATTAAGTGAGAGCAATTCGACTTCCATAGTTCTTTCTTTGGATGTGGACAGCATTTTCCATCCCGAGGCCTCTGGAGATGTCTTAGATCCTCGTAATGCTGAGAAGGGTTCAGTTTAACATTCTTAGTCATTGCATAACGTGGCTGCTATTGAATACAAAGTCCTCTGGGTTCTGCTCACTTCACTCAGCATCAGACCAATATAAGTCTTCCCAGGTTTTTCTGAAGTCAGCCTGTTCATCATTTCTTATAGAACAATAGTATTCCATTACATTCATATACCACAACTTGCTCAGCCATTCCCCAATTGATGGGCATCCTCTCAATTTCCAATTCTTTGCCACCACAAAAAGAGTTGGGGAGCATACATTCTAATGGGGAGAACCCTGTACCAGATCCGTGTGTACAGTTTAAATGACTGGCAATCTTGGAAGTGAGGATGAAAGGCCTCTTTTGGGTGGGGTTTGAGTAGAGCCAGGAGGTAGAGGTGACAATGAAGAGTGTATCATTCATGGGAGAACTGCCTTTTGGGAGTTGGGAGATGGAAGAACAGCAAGTAGACTGTATAGCTAGATTATAGAGGTAGAGAGAAGGTAGAGGGTAACAAGACTAGAAAATTGGTATGGGTTTTGATTGTGACGTGCTTTAAATGCCAGAGTATTATATTTGATCCTAGAGGCAATAGGAAACCTCTGGAATTTATTGAGTGTGGGATGGTGGTGGTGGCAGTGTTATATTTAGACTTATACTTTAAGAAAATCACTTTGAGTTGAGGGATTGGAGTGGGGAGAGAACTGAGGCTGAAGGACCAATCAGAAGGCTGTTGCAGTAGTCCAGGTTGGAGATGATAAAGTCCTGCACTAGGGTCGCTGCTATGTGAGTGGAAAGGGGTTATAAATAAGAGCTGGGTGGAAGGTAGCTTTGCTGGGGTTTGACAATTAATTCTTTAAATGGAGTGAGTGAGAATGAGGAGTGGAGGATGATACTAAGATTTTGGGCCTGAGTGACTGGGAAGATTGCCCTCAGCAGTAATAGGAAAGTTGGATATTGAGGGAGGTTTTTTGGGGAAAAGAGAATGAGTTCTGTTTAGATGTGCTGTTTGAAATGCTTATACAACATCCAGTTTGAGATATCCAAAAGTCAGTTGGTGGTATGAGACTGGAGCTCAGGATCATGTAGGGCTATATTTACAGATTTGGAAGTTTTCTGTGTAGAGATGATAATTAAATCTCTGGGAACAAATGAGATCACCAGGTGAGGTAATACATACAGAGAAGTCTCAGGATAAGGCCTTTGAAAACACCCATAATTAATTGGTGTGACCTCTACAAAGACCCAGCAAAGAAAACTGAGGAGCAGTCAGCTGGGTGGGAGGAGAAACCAGGAACAAGTCTAAAAAGAGAATATCCAGAATAAGTGGGTGATGATACAGTGACAAAAAGCAAAGGATGGAACAAATCAGAAAGTGAAGGAATTGCCGTTATAATCTTATAATTCAGAAGGGTTTCTTGAAATGAGATTTTGATAGGCAGCTTGGAGAAATGCTTGGAGAAGCATAGGGCCTTTGCAGAATTTTTTTTTTTTATGAAACTGATCCATTTAAGTTTTATTTTGCTGTCTTCCTTTTTCTCGTGGTAAATTTTCTTAGAGCAAATATTATTCAATTCACAACACTTATTAATTACCTCCTATGTTCCAGCACTGTACTGAGCACTGAGGATACAAATAAGGAAAAGAAAGATACAAAGATACAAAAAAAGAAAAATTTCTGCCCTGAAGGAGCTTACAATGTAAGGAGAAGCTGCAAAGTTGGGAAGAGGGGGAAACAGGACATCAGGGTGTACACAGTGTGGGGTATGGAGTGTTCATCTTGTTCTGTCGAGTTGAAAGTGGGCAGAGCTGCAGATGCAAAGTGGAGTGAACTGCAAAGTCCAGGTTATACCCTCTATAAAGGAAGGTTTTGCCTGGAGTTTAGTGCTCTACTCTCCAGCCTTCTAGAGATAGTAGCTCATTTGTTTGGCACTTTATAGTTTACAAAATGCTGGCTTCTTATAGTGTAAATACTTTTAAATCTACTTTACAGATAAGGAAAACTGAGGCTTAGGGAGTGGCAACTAGCAAGTGGAAGTGATGCGGTTTAGGGTTTGGGTGCTGGGGAACCCAAAATCACAACATGCGGGTCCTGTCCGAAAGAATTCGACCCAAGCCTTCTTTCAGTCAAAGACAAGGTTTCTTAGAACATCCATCGAGATATTGGGCAGACTCTTAAGGAATCTGAACATTAGTAAGCTATTGGTTAGATTATAAGAATCTGACCAGTGGATAGATTATAAGAATGTGAGCATTTTAAGGGAGACAGGATGGACCTTATATACAGAAAGCCTGTGGGAGGGATCTAGGAGTGGCCAACTAGTCTATGAGGTAATAGAATTCCAGGGAAATTGGAGCCTAGATAGGACCAAAGGTGGGAAGTGGCCTGGGGCCATAGGGGAGGCAAGATAATGGAGGGCCAGGCTAGGTCTTTTATAATAGAATTGGGGGATTGGGTGTGGCCAAAATGAAAGGCCAGTTGTGGGAATCATGGCCTCAGGAGAACACCAGAGATTTGGCCTTGTGGGAAAGTCCAGGGTTTTTCCTTTCTGGGGCCTAGATCCCATCCTCATCAGAAAAACTGGAATTTGAATTGTCATGATAGCAACAAGTACTAAGTGCTTACTACGTGCCAGGCACCATGCTAGGTGCTGGGGAACATAAAGTCCACTGTTCTTTCCAATAC